TGTTTGTTTGTTTGTTTGTTTGTTTATGACTTGGCGTTTTAACAGCGCTTCGATATTTCCATGCCTCTTAAACGTGACTGACACTGTGTACGTCACAACCTATTGACCAATGAAAAGGCCCCATTCGAGAACCAGGACGCTGCTCACGTTCGGTACAGCTCATGATGCGTTCAAAGTTATAGGATAAATTAWCAACTGCACAATGTATCCAACTCCACCTTGACACTAAATACACGTAGTACAGTCTCATTTGAAATAACACAGTAACAAACATATTAAACCCATTAAATAAACTAAAGTAAACAATTAAACGTTCATCACGACACTAAACAAACACTGATGTCATAAAACTCATATGGCGATCTTCTTCGTATGTGTGGAAAATTAAACTTTAAAAGGCTTAAATTTTATGTTTTGTTTTATGTTAATTGAAGATTAGTATTGTTTGAGTTTATACTTGAGGAAAAAGGGGTAGATATAAGATTTTTCTTCTTTCTGCTTCCTTTCATTTCATTGTATTTGTATTTTTTCTATATGTGTACATATTGATTTGTTTTAAATAAATTAATATGATTATAAATAAAAATAAAAAATATATAAATTTGTATTACTCCGCTCATAGATTGGATTAAGTGTGTTTATACCGCTCCATCGCGCAACTAGTAAAGATGTCCTTGAACGCATCAGGGCTCATTTAAAGCACTGAGCATGCGCACTGGGCTCTGCTGCGTTATGAAACACTGTTAACCGGTAGTGGGTCGCCGGAGGTGACTCTCGAACCTGACCCACAGACACTCTCCGCTCTTCGGAACCGACGGAAGAAATGCTTCTTTCTCTGGGCCTGACATAAACATCTTTGTGGGGGAGCCAGTACGAGGTAGGACGGGTTCTTTCACCGTTTCGGTTCTGGGGGGGGGTCGAAAGCGGCTGGGTTACATAAGCGCCACTCCGGTGACCCGGTTTCTGTCCGCGGAGTTGTTTTCTTCTGTCAGGCCTTAAACGTTGTCATTAGTTTTTCACATGCGACTATAAAGTCCAGCGGACCCGGTTTGAGCCTGAAGGCAGGTGTAGGTGTGTGCTGGGGTTTAGGCGTGTAGTCCGGATGAACCAGGGCCCGGTTCGGGGCAGACGGTCTGACCTAATTTCCATCAGTGTCCGGTCTCTGCGAGCTGGTTCTGACCGAACCTGATGGGTTCTCTGGGAAGTTAGACTTCCTGACTTTTAGTGTTTGTTGTGACAGTTTTTATCTGCCTCTCATCTCTCACACGTTTTTATAATATCAGCTTTATTATTAAGGAAGGTTTTATTTATTTATTTATTTATTTATTTATTTATTTATTTATTTATTTATTTATTTGTTTGTTTGTTTGTTTGTTTGTTTGTTTG